AACAAAATACAACACATATATAATATATTGACATAAACGAAAATCGAGATTGGATATGGAGCGAGTCATCTATGGGGAATGACAAAAGAGCTCATCTTTTCTTTGTTCTTTTACTAGTGAAATTACTAGTGGTTGGTTTAATGATGTGTTTATTCACATCAATAACCTTTGGATTTTTTTCTCTTCCATTCAATTTTAGAGTAACCATCTAGCTTTTTAAATTCTTAAGTGAATGAGGTCACTCTATTGGAAAGTAAGAGTTGATATCATTCATCGATAGAATTGTTAAGTGAGGTTGGATTGTATAATTTGTTAAATGAGATTTCAATAGGCACGATAGACAATACCATATACGGAAGATGTCAAAGCTTTCATTAATCGAATATAAAAAAATAATGAGTACGAAGGTCCAAATTAGTTTAGAGTATATCTTTCTTTCATATGATAAAAGAAAAAGAAACTCATGCAATAGAAGATGAAATACTAGGAAAAAAAGAGCAAATTACCCAACGACTCAATTAGACTCCAAAGATCTTCCCTTACCTAGCCATTTTAAATAGCAAGTAATCGCATCTCCTTAACTAGTCGTTCATAGCTTCATGGTCATCTTTCACTCTACCTTGATCGATGGCAAGGCTCGGCTCTCATGGAACTATGGCTTCTTCAAAGCCATTTTTTGTTTGGTTATCCATTATAGCCAAGTGTTGCCCTCGCTTATTACCGACTTGAGCCAGGTTATTATGTATGATAGCATAATATCATGATATCTTGAGTAGTTCTCCTATAAAATATTAATTTTCTTTCTTGAATATAACGATTTGGGTTTGTGCCTCCACTATTTGATTTGTTGATTCTTGATTACTTGCTACATTTGGCACTTAAAGATCTTTGCCACTTGACGTTATCCTCTTTAAGCTTTGTTACTTCGATTCTTAAACTTTCGACTCAAGCTCAACTTTGCCATGCTATAATTGTAAGTTATCAAAGTTAAAATACTTCGAGTCTAATTAAGTTTGGGCTTGACGATAAAATGGTTTCCAATATTCATCGTCAATAGCTATGTTTTACCAAGTTTCTAAATCTTGCTCTAAATCTAACATCTTTTCTTTGTCTTTCTCTCTCTTTCTTTTTTCATTGGCTAATCACTCGTTAGCTTCCAATTTTTGACCTTGAGTAACTCGATTTTTTTTTATAAGATCTTGATGGTCTAGAGGGATGACTTTTGAGGGATCATCTATTTTTCTCTTTTTTCTTTTACACTCGGCTAGGCAAAACACCGAGAGCTTGTGGAGGGGTTAGCATACTCCCATGGGTTGGTTGGCCTAAGGATCTATTTCTTGTTGTTTGGTCGAACCGAGTCGGATGTCTATATTCTTTTGCCTATTTGCTTATAATGTAGGATATTTCTCGATTAATCCTAATTCATGATAAGGAATTCCTTTACCCATCATTCTAGGAGTTAACTAGTCTTATATAACCAAGTCACGAAACTCAAGAGTGGTACTATCTTTCATTCTTCCTTTAAATCTATTTAAGCACATAGTTTTAAGGACAACCTACTTATAGCTTAAATTGTTTTAACACCATGAACGGAGCGTAATAAGTATACCCAATTACACCTATTAGAGAGGCATATGGTTGTGTTCTATAGCAAGCTAGATATGGTCTTCGGTTCATCTAGACTATTTTCCATAAAAAAAACCTTTAGTTGACATACTAAAAAATTAATGAAAAAAACTCTTATTTAGACTTTTGTTTCCAAGTATTTGCTAAGAATTCCTTTAAAGGTTCTTGATCAATCCATCAACATATATTAAAAAGTAATTTATGGGCTTCAATATGACTAATTATCCATACAAGCAGTAGTTGAGCACAACATCTCACACTCCTTTTTCCAAACCTTCTATAGTGATTCAATGAGCGAAGGTTTTGGTTAGGATGGCGATAGTAGGATTCATGGAGTGCTTCTCTGCTTTGACAAAGCTTTGGCTGCATCTAGACTAATTATGCTAGCTAATAAGAGGAAGAGCACTAACTCGAAGATCACCAATTCTAGAATTTTGATCCTCTTAGAACTAGCTAGTGGATCTTTCAGCTTTTGTTTAAATGCATCTAACCAACTTTCATAATGCCATCCTTTAGTATTCCCCTTAGTCTTACCATGACTCATGTTTATGTTTAATCAATCTTCTACCCCTTTTCTCGGTATTTGGTCATCTTTGGTATAGATAGACCTTATATAAAGTGTTTATCATGTTTAAGAGTTGATGGTACTTCTTCAAGGTAGTATTCATATCTAGTTCTTTCACGGTGAAACATCTATATGAGGGGTCTCATAAACGAGTAAAAGCTTTAATAGTAAGTTTTTGGACGAGTACCTCTCGAAAAATAACAAGATTTTCATATTTGATTTAAAAACTATAATGATCATCGGGACTCGGCATCCTTTAACATTTAAATAGATTTTAAGTGTTATTGATCACTAACCGAAAGTATGGGATCTCTTTATAGTTGCTTTGAAATTCTAACCCCAAGTAATCCCTTTTTATTTGTTTGTAAAACCTTAAATGTTTTATTGAATTTAGACATGATATAGGTTTAGATCCGAGTTCTCTTTTCATTCATTCCGAAACATTCATTACCAGATTGTTTGGTTAAGTTTTGACACATCCGACTTGTCTAATGAATTTACACGGGAAAGATGGTCTTAGGGTCCAATTTTAGTCATTATGTGATTGGATAGGATCTATCTAAGTCTCAGAAGCTCCTCTTTGGCTTAAAAGAACCGAGACCGATCAAGTATGAAGGTGGTAACCGTGGAGACCATCGTTTACTTGTCACGATAGTGATAGCTTTCTAAAAAGGTTGAGGTTTTATGAGTGTTACCCGAGATAAAACCCATCAAGGCATAATAATTCCTTCTTAAATTCAAAGGTTAGTATGTTCGATAGATAATATGTGTAGTGTTGTGTGTGAGGACATAATCACATATCCAGTCTTAAAAACTAAGGACAAAAAATTAAATGATTAAAATCCGCAAAGCAAAATACCACACACACACACACACGAGTTATATATATATATATATATATATATATATAACTAAAAAAATAAATAAGAAAATAGTTAAAGGCTAATTATTCATTCAAAATATATAGACACGAAGCATAACAAGTAACCGAGAGATTCATGAACATAAATATTCAAAGCTTGACCATAGCATGGCATAGTCTTTAGTGGAGTCATCATTCCATCAACGTGGGCCGGCGAGGGATACGCGAGAAACATGGAGCCGTCACTTAGATAATTAGAGAGAACTAAAAAACCCTAAACATACTGTTCGAAAAGATATCTAAGTTAGGAGTCGATTATGTATGGGGAAGATATAACATCACCATCATCTTGTTTTACTGAGATAGATCGCATTGAATGCATGTGAAAAATAAAATCTAATTTTTTACTATGTTATACTTCTATACCAATTTAAATGAATTTAATTTATTAAAATATAAAAATAGAGAAGTTTAGGGGTTTGGGATATAAAATAGAGTAATTTGGGGGTTCGAGCATATCTAAGGCCAATACCTCCACTCAAAAGGAAAAGATAATGAGAATTGAAATTTAGGCTAATCTTTAACGATCATGATTTATATTGACAAGTAGGTGAGTTTCTATAAATCGAAAACCTTTATTGATATGAACAAGAAATCACCAATAAATTCACTCATACAAAGGCAAAGACATCATCGATTTTAGATCATGTATTTGAAAAGCTATAGATAACTTTATCACATAAGTGAAAAGTCATTGGTAACTTTATTTTGCTCGAGTAAGGAGCAAATTACTAATTTGAAAGCCACTAGCAACTTCATCACATAAGTGAGAAACTACTACCGACTTATTTTCCGACAAACAAAATGCATACAAAATGATGTCGAAACCATTGATAACTTTTTCACATAAGTGAAAAATTATCAATAATTTTGTTCTCATTAAATTTGTTAAAAGAAAAATAGTTTGGGGGTCACCGATGGCTTCGTCCACACAAGTGGAAAGTCAATTGTGGTATGTTTTTTTTTACTAACGAGAATAAATGAAAAATGACTTAAAAAATAATAAAATCGAGATAATACACCTTAGATATGACTATTACATGTTTAGGTGCTTTGTAACCAAGTATGGTAAATCAATCAAACCACATAAAAGGCATCGACTTGTATTAAAAATTCGGATATTTAAATATGTTAATTCATTCATAATGATAATTATAGAAAAATTAATTTCAATCACATTTAAAGCATGAATATATAAATGAAATGTGAAAATTTCATTCATATTTTATAGTACAATCTCAAGTATCCGATTTGAGAGTTTGTTCTATCTCTTCATCCTCGATGATAACTGATCGTTCAATTAATCGAGGAAGGAAAGCAACTGCTTGTTGTCAAAACATTGTATGAATCCTATTAAGGTGACTAGAGATCCTTTTAAGATTGAAGCAAATAGTCAAAATTATTACTTGTTGCTAAAGTTATTATAAATTTACTAAAGTTACTTTAAATTTTACAATAACTTTGTAAACTTTTAACTTCTCTAAAAATTATCAATATTATTGTAACTTGAGAAGATTTAGCAACAAAGTAGTTGCTATGTTTTTTCTTATAAAAATAAATACAAATATAACTTACAACGTCATGTTGTTCATGTCAAACTCAATCAACCATAATAGTAAATTTTTTAAGAGTGGCTAGTTGGATTTTTTAAGAGTGGCTAGTTGGTCAGCTGGCACACGAGGCAAGGCTACTAGCTAGCTACGTATGGGAGAGGCTAGTTAGGAGGGTCTGTTGGTAGGTAATGTGTGAAAAGTGCTAGTTATGAACGCTGTTGGTTGGCTATTATAAGGGCTAGCATGTGAGGGCTATAGGTATGTGAGATAGGGATATTGCTTGGTGCTTATGAGAGGAGGCTATTGGCTAGTGCTTACGAGAGAGGCTATCGACATGTTTGTAAAAGTGGTCAGTTGGAGTATGAGAGAGGCTTTTAGCTTTATGTGAGGGAAGTTCGGTGGTTGAGAAGTTGGTTGTTGATCGGTGCTTCTAAAAGCGAGGTCGTTGGCTAGTGCTTGCGAGGTGATGAAGGCTAGGATGCGAGAGAGGGTGTTGGTCGGTACTTACGAGAAGGGGTTGTTGGCCTATACTTACAAGAAAGGATTGGTAGGCGAGAGGGGGCTATTGGCTTTAGGTGAGGAAGGATGACATAGAAGAGGAGGGCTACCGGTGGTGCTTGCGAGGGAGGTCGATGTACGAGATGTGGTTGTTGGATGAAGGCTGGTTGTTTCGGGTCGAGTTAGAGTTATCGAGGGAGATTGTGGTTTCGGATAAGAGTCGTTTAAGTGAGGTTGGGGATGAGAGGAAATAGTGGTTTCGAGTGAAGTCTAAGTTTTGGTAGAGAGAGTTTGTTGGAAGAAGATTTTAAAAGAGATGAATAGCGGATGATATAAAAAAAAATAAGATAGGGGTTTATTTATGAGTTTTCTTTAGGTAAAAGTCTTTTTTGGTCTCTAATTCCTTATAATCCACCTATTTAAGTCTAATTTTGATTATTCTAGTTTCAATGGGACCCTTAAATTTCAATTAATTATGACTTTTCTCTTTAATTTCTTCTAATTATGCTCTTTTTTATTTTAATTTAAAAAATGAGGTTTTTTATCTTTCAATTGTACCCTCAATTTTTTCCCCTAAACTTCTTATTTTTTAATTACCCCTTAAAACTAATCTAAGCTACTTATTTCAATTGGTATTTTTCTTTTTTCTTTTTTCTCTTCTTCTTTTTTTTTTACTTGGAATTTTTTTTTTGTTATTTGTATTTTGTAATAAAAATAAAAATAAAATAATAAGGATAAGAATTAGGTGTTAACTAGATGCCCCTAAGTATTGGTTAAGACCATGCTTTTGCAAATCTCTTAGTACAATCATTACTTGTGTTCAAATACTTGTCTTTTGATGCTTGCATTATAATTTACAAATTAGTCTTGAAATTTTCATCATCTTTTAAGAAAGATCATTAAATAGATATTTGCTCCTCATGGATGAAGTAATGAACTCGAATGATTCTCTCAAATATAATTCAATTATTTGAAAGAAATGCGAAATACTTCGATGAAAGTACTTTCATTTATGAAGATGTTCAATTTAATTTATCAAAAGTTAAAACATGACATTCAAATATTATGATGCAATTTTCTCAAGAAGGTTACTTGGGTTAAACTAGCAAATATGGTTGGATCATGCAAGTTTTCTACACTTTTTTTTATTTTACTAAAGGTGATTGATCAAATGATAAGTTTATTTTGGTAAATGGAACATGATGAGTAGAAAATATTTTGAAAAAAAATTGATTTTAAAGGATAACTTTGTCTAGGAAAGTCTTGATCTTGTTTTTTCTTACCCCTAATTTAGTTGATCAAAATTCATGATCCGATGTCATAAAGAACGAAAAACAACACTCTAATTAGTCATGTTTTCTTCTTAATCATCCTTTTTTTTTCTTTTTGAGATTAGAATTCAACAAGTATAAATGAATTGCGTTTGATTAAAAATGGCTTGTAGAAGCACATAATATAAGTTATGACTTGAGCTTATGAAAAAATTGATATATAAAAGCTCAAAAAATTGTTTGAGGGTCTTATGATATAGGATCACTTTGTTGTCAATAGTAGTCTCTTTAAGTAATGCCATCTGGACTTTGTCACTTTAGCCGTTAGTTAGGCGAGTTGTGTGTTTGTGAGAAAATTTTTCTTTTTAGGCTTGATGTGATGACCTTGTCATTTTGATCATTGACTTTGTTTTCTAGCCTCAAATATCATGATATGTTTGTCCAAATTTTGATTCCCATCTTGACTTGTAATTTTTAATTAGGGGTTTTCTTCATCTTCTTTTTTTGTCTTCGTTTTTTTTTTTTTTTTTTTTTTTTTTTTTTGCATTCTTGTTCCTTTTTTTAATCATTGACGAAGTTTTTTGATAAAAAACTTTTATGAGTTTCATCAATCCTTTATGGACTTCGTATTCTATCTCCCTAATATAAGAGGTGATCTTAGTCTAGATTATCACAAAAGAAGTCATCAAGGCTCGAATTGGGTCAACAAGGGACAAATTTTTTTAGAAATATTTGAAAAATGACCTTTTTCTCATCTTAAAGGCTTATTTGCTTAGGCTAATAAATGCTAATCTCTTTTAGAGAATAATAATTAATTTGGAAAATCCTTAGGTTAGCCTAAAAGAAGAAATGATGAATGTAATTTGAGATCACAACTCGAAGATGTATTGTTCATTATTATTTATGAAACAATCACTAATTCTTTCAATTTGGGCTTCATGGGGATTTTTTAAGAAAAACTTTCCTTTGAGGGTTTATTTGGAAAAGGATTTTTTGGATTTTTTTTGTTTTAACAAAATGAGGGATTGTCGCCTTACTTTTTGCTCAAAAAGGTTATTAAGAGGATGTATACTTAGGTTCAATGAATTGAAGAATTGTCGATAACATCTATCATACTTTGAAACTTGATCTATCTTTGAATGATTTGAAAGAATTTTTCACCAAAAAATGCTTTCAAATAAATATCTTTTAATTTTAGTTCGGACAATATGAAATTGTATCAAAAAGTAAAATCATTCTCAAATGTTTGACTTAATTCATACATAACCAAAATATTTTAGGAAATAATGTTCAAAATTCAAGAAAATTAAAAGACAACATTTACAAATCATTACCATGCATACTAACTATATCTTTCAAACTCACTCGGTCTCTCCATTCCCTATGTTGGCTACTTGCATGACTTAGAAATGGATTGTTTCTAAACATTTAGCATTCTTGGAGTTTCATCCAAAAAGACCCACCCCTACTTAATCAAAGATTTTACTCTTCTCTTGAAAGCCATGTAATTCTCAATATTATGGCCTACTATACCAGCATGATAGTCGTATTTCTTATTTGACTTGTACCAATAAAGATATGGTGGTCGAAGTTGAGTTATAAAAACATAAATGACTTAATCATTAGCAATGAGATAGATGCCCAACTCACTTAGTGGAACTCGAAAAGGAGGTAGTATGTCTTGATACCTTCTACCACTACTTCGAGAATATGATCTTCGGAGACCATTGAAAGATTATTAATTCTATATTTGAAGACTTTGTATAGGAAGTTGGTAGTTTGATGATGGATTGAAAGTGTTGAAATAGGGACCGTTTATAGGGGCAATTGGGGTTTGATTGTCCCTATTTTGTTATTGAGTATAGAAGTAATTTTGGTGCCCTCGATTATTCCACAACCTTCATGGTTGGAAATTGATCGACTTCAAATAATGAATCTCATTATCTTCAATGGTGCCAAAATTATTTTTTCTTAAGTTGGTATCCGAAATCTTTCCCGACTTAAGAGCTCGTTTCTTTCACCGATGACTACCAAATCAATAAAATTAGGTGAGAAAAATACCGATCAAATAATCAAAGTAAGACATTTTAAAGGTATCGATAAACATATGAACCAAATATTTTTCTATCAATGATGGATATATTTGGGCGATGACTTTATGTTAACTCTATGCATATTCTTTGATAGTTTCTTTGAGATCCTTCTTCATACTTTCTAGAGTAGTTATATTATGAGTTATTTCCTAATTGAATTTATACTTGATGAATGAATGCAAATGCCAAATCCTTCTATTTTTGAATCTTGGTTCTATTAAGATGCATGTACCACCTAAGTGCGGCACCATCTAGGCTTGCGTGAAAAAAATGGACTAGTAGCTTCTTATTATGTATAACTTCTACTATTTTTCTAAAATAAATTCGAAGATGGATTTTTAAACTCTTAGTACCGAGTACTTGGTGAATTTAAACACCTTAAATTTTTTCAAAATCACTACGTATGGCACAAGACACATCTCTTCAACTCTCATCGAGTCATATAAATCTATGCCATTTAATATCTTTAGTCTTTCTTCAATGGCAAATAGCGACTCTTAGTTGGATTTTTCTATCATCTTAGTTTTCTTGATTCCCTCGGCTACGAGGTCCATGGTGGAAAAGGGCCTATGGTGTTTATAGAAACTAAATGTTTAGAACATAATCTAGTTCCCTTTGATCGGTATGCAATGATCCCGAAGGCATTTGATCATTTAGTAGAGGAATATATGATGACATTTTTGTTCGAGCTTGTCTCTTACTTGAAGTATCTTTACGAGAATGCAACCCTTGTGATGCTTACTCAAACCGACTTTGCCTTTCATGATGTCGATCTTCTCTTCATTGTTTGTTTTGGGCCTTTTTAGGGTTTTTTTATTTTTTATTGAGATATGATGTTGAAAAGTTTTAAGCTTTTATTAAGTGCGACTTCGTATTTCTTTAGTCTTGTTTATTCTCACAAAATAGTATATATAATGAATATAAATGTAAGCAATAATGCATGTAACAATAAGAAACGAGTTGGATACATTGCTTTGCTATTACAAACCTCAAATTATGATAGATTTTACGTTGAAGATGGACCAAATCGGATTTAGTACTCACTAAGGGTATAAGTCCATAAATACTTTGGTTAATCCAAGAAAGATTCCTACCCCGGATCTAATTTGTCTTTAACATGACTTTTTTTAGAACCTTGAATGATAAGCACATCTTATGAAGGCATACATGAAAGAATTTGAAATATAGACTTCTAAAACATTCTAAATATGACTTAGAATCATTTTTCATTGAAAGAAAAAGGTTATACCACTTGTTTAGTTATAATGATCATTTGTTACAATCACTTAGATCATATTACAATGCTTACAATATTACATATAGATTCATATTCAACGTTTCATAATTCCGAGACCCAAACATGAAGTAGTAGTGACTCGTGATGGTTTTGAGCCTTCTATGAACTCCTCTTTAGTGGTGTACTCATTACTTATGAGTTTTTTTTTTTTTTTGTAACTTCGATATAGAATCCGAAGATAGACAGACCTCCCTCCTCAAACTAAACCTACTATGATCCGATCCTAAAATCCTTGATAGCATTCTTTGTAATGATTTATTTAGATAATAACTTACAAAAACAAAGGTTAAAATTGACATCATTTAAATATATTTAGTATCTTAAATGGACAATCATGTTGGATAGTGTTTAGTTTTTATAGAGTTTAGGTAAAACTTGTCTAATCCCGAAGTCTTTTCAAGTCTCCGGACTATTTTGGTTACTAGTGGGGTAATCCGACCTCTTACCTTATGGACCTAAAAGTATGAAAAAGTCATTTCATAAATTTCTATACATAGGGCAAGTTCCATTCCAAACGAGAGTCCGGACAAGTATTGATAGACTTTTTTCCTACTTGCCTCCGAGTTTCTATATCTAAATCCTAGTAGGATTTT